AAAAAAAAAAAACCATGGTCAGCATGTACTTTAAAAATACACTATTCTAGGAGTTGTACTTGTCCTAAAATTTGGTTTCTTGTACTTTTTGAGGTGTTCCATATTGACCATTCCAACCAAATATAAAACAGTACACCTTTAAAAAAAGTGGTGTTTTAAAATTCTGAATCCGTTGATGCCTCGTTTGTCAGGCATCAGGGAACATGTGGCTCATGAATGGTTTCAGAAAGCCAAAACTTCTATGTTCAAGTTCCAATGCTTTTTTAAAAATCTTAGTGGAAAGCAAACTTACATGTATTACACATATCCCCTCAAGTGTCTTTCACATGTATTAGAAAAAAATACCTTGTACATATTTAACCTTCCTCAGTAATTCATGGTCATCATTCTATATATCACTTCGGCCGTATGCATGTCATCTGGGAGTATTTGCACCTGCACCAAATTGTTTTTTAATTCTCCTGCTTTTTATAGGGGTTTCAGTCTCTTTAAGCTCAGCCAGGCTGTCAGCTGTTATTTCTTGATGTGTCTTCAGTGCTTCCTCCAACTCTACACTAATTTGCTACTTCTGACTTACTGTGGGCTGGGAAACCATTTAAACAAAACCACACCCATTTGAATGTGTCTAAAATTAGAGTAAATAGGCTCTGACAGAGGACCTGAGTGACTCTGTTCTAAGTAAATTGTGTGAATTTGTAGACTCTGACTTGTTTTTCTCTCTAAGGTTTTTGTTTCCTTTAGCTTCCAGATACTCAGAGATGTTTCTTATCAGATTACTCATGCAAAAGCCTTCAAATACTTTATATATTTGTCCACCATTTTATTTCATAAAAATAAAAAGCGACTTGCCGATGGTTTCAGTCCATAGCTAACCACAAAATAAATCCCCATGTCAGAAATACATTATTTGATCAGATGAACAGTTCTCTCAGGTTGCTAAGAATAGGGGATCTAGTGCCTCTAGTCAAATGATTCAGCATTTTTATCTAAGGATGACCCAGACCCCTGTTTCTGGTGTGTAACCTCTGCCTCTGGGTTTTGGACGTCTTGGGTGGCAGGTCCAGGAAAAGCGTTCTGAGAAACTGGCAGGGCTGGTGTGTAGCCCGGATGCTGCCTCTGAACTAGACACACCCATGAGAGAGCATAGAGTTGAGAGGTTTCAGACTTCTCATTGATTACAACACACTCCTTTGCTTCTTGAGCCTATGAATTCAGTAAACAGCAGGTACAAGGATTTAGACATCTGTTTTGTTCCTACTGTATGTGAAGTGCTGAGGTAGGTGCTAGAGAAGCAAAGATTAGTCTCTGAAGATCTCAAAGTCTAGTGGAGGTGACAGACCTATAATAAAATAAATTGCATGCATTGCCTCATAGTAAATGCTATGCAGGAGTGGAGAAAAGGCTGGGGTGGAGGTGGGGATTGCTAACTTCATCTAGGGAAGAGGGCTTGAGAAGTAGTTGGATTCTACGTTGCACAAGAGAATGAATGCCTGTGGCCATCTCCAAGGAGAAGGCTCTGGCAGCCCCTGGTCAAGTGCTAAGCTGCAGGACACTTTAGTTATATCTGACTTGAGGTCTGAGCAAGGATTTCCAAACTTTGCTGTTTCTGTAGAACTTGACTGCTAGTGATGACTCAGACCAGCATCTCCTCCGGATGACTTGAACCATGGGGCTGGGATTGGGGAGTTGTGATATTAATGTTTCCTGTTGCAAAAAGCATGATAGTTTGTGATGCTCTGGGGAAAAAAAACAGCAGTACCTTAGAAGCATTTCTGTCTCACCTCCTTCCCCGTTTTACTAATGAAACTGATGGTGATGTTCCCCCTCCCTAAAGGCAGGGAAAGAGGGAGGGAGGGAGGGTGAAGAAACGTGGCATCCTAAGGCCTGATCTAAGGCCTGATTTTCAAAATATTCTGCTGAGGCAAGGCCACATAGTCCAGTAACTGAACCAGGACTGGAATGAGATTTTTTGGTTCTTAGTCTATTTCTCTTCATCCCATTACAACATAATTTTAGTGACTAGAAGGGGACAGGCTGAAGTGTTCTCATGGAAGGAGTAGAGCTAGTCCACGTGAGACCCTAAGATACAGAGTATAGTTGTTGATGGAGGAGCAAAGATGGCCAAGATAATAGACTTACATTATGGCATAGAGCATGGAGTCATTATGAGATGAAATTCTGAAGAAATGATTCTCCAAAGTTTCCTACAAAGAATTATACTATTTTTCAGTCTACTCCGGAGACATCCAGAAATGTCCTTTTCCTGCTTTGGAAGTCTTCACATTATCTCCTGAGCTTTCTGCCTGTGTATGTCCTGTTCCATTTCTGTGTGCTCCAGGAAAGAAGGTGTCTAATACCAAAACAACTTGTGAAGCTGGCCAGAGGCAACTTCCAGAATTGAGGAAGAAGGGCCATGTAAAAGTTTTCATACAGGGTATTTTTAGGGCGCTGTGAACTTTAGCTAAGGTTTCAATTTTGGAGCTTTTTCCGTATGGTTCCAGAGTATTATGTGCTGCACAGCACAGGTGTTGAGTATTCGCCAGAAAAGTCTGTAATAAATTTTGCTTCCATCTGCGGCTTTGCCGCTTCTTCACTGTGATTCAAAAATGAGCTTAATAGGACTTCAGCATGGACCCAACTCCTGGAGTCCTCAGTTACTTAAGGCAACCAGAAAAAGCCCTATAA